ACATCTAAATAAATACAACTCTGTGGAAATTAATTATTTATTATCTCCGCGAGCGATTGCAGTTTGAGTATAGTTCTGTGTAAATGCATAGATAAACTGCGCTGTCAGCAGGCATTTCATAATTTAGAAGGACAAAAACATTATTAATAATTCTGATATAACATTCCAGTTGAGAAATGCAATAAAATACGATGTTTTGTTTGTTATATTCCAATATTCCAGATAATATTATTCAGTGAATTAACATTATCCAGTGAATTATTCTTCACTCTTTAGCCTATTAAACATCTTATAAACCTACTAAAACTGTAGTTTAAAATGAAGTTGATATGACTCCTGTCCTTTATTTATTTTCTCCATTTGAAAACATTAGACCTTCTACATTTATTTTGCTTATTGTTAATATTAGTGTTGCTGCTGATGCTTTAAATAAAATGTTTTTTTATTGTTGTAATGTGAAGATTAAATTTAACATGAAAGACTGCTAATTTTCAACACTTAAAAAAAAGAAAGAAAAGATGACTGAAAAGAGGAAAAACCAAAGTGAAGTATGTTCTTACTTCACTCAGTCATTTATTTACTTTATAACAGTAAATAAATATCGGTTCTGCATATCGGTTATCGGGCATATAAACATGCAAATAATTGGTATCGGTTATAAAAAATCAATGTCGGTCGATCACTACAGACAATTCATGAAGACCCTAATAAATCATGCCAACTTGTGGAAAATGTTCATCCGATGAGCCCTTTAAGAAAACAAAAAATCTTCTTAAGAAACTTCCTTAGAAGAATTTGAGAATTTTTCAAGAACTACAATTAGGAACATTCTTATGAACCTCTTTGAATTTATCTTTAGAAATTTCTTAACTTCGTTCTTAATAAGATTTTCATGAATATGGCCCCTGATTATCCTGCTATGCTAACAAGTTTGTGATAGACCTTACCAAAATAAGTTTGTCTCGATTGTCCAAAAGCAATTTCTCTGTGTGCCTGTAGGCTTGTGCTATAAGCATCGTAGCTTCCTGATCATGAGAGAAAAGAACACAAATAAATATTCAGACACATATTCAAGACAACCAATATTTAACACCTACAGAACCCACATCACCCATGCCACACCAGTAGAACAAGAAGCAGGTTAGTATGTTCTTTCACTCACATGGTCCATCTGCTGTTGGAGTCCTTGGCTGAATGGTCTCCGTCCAATACCCCCCTGATCCTCAGAGTCAGGGAAGGACACCTGGCCCACACTGGCAACCATGCCATACTGCTTCACCATGGAGTAGGCCACACGGGTCACCTTCCTCAGGTCATCCTGAGCACCTACGATGAGTTTCTAAGTTATCTGGTGTCTAATACTACCTATAAATATTCATGAGGTCAGGTCTGCATCTGTACCACTGGGTATACAACTGTTCCTAGCAAATAACCATTTCCTACTAGTCAATATGCATTTGTCCTCCAGGGGGCACCTGGAGGCTACATTCAAATATTTTTGTCTCACTGGAGATATGTATAGTGTGTCTATCAAACATAATAAATGCATTTTTTATTAAATCATTGAATAAATGTCCTATTCTGCAATCACATAAAAAAAATACAAATGTGAAGAGTTAAAATAAAATTGTTATTTAGAACCATCGTACATGATCAATTACAGACAATGTCTGCATCTGATTTTTGGGTCCCGTTTCATGCTAATTACTATTCTTTCAGCTAGTTCTGTTTCTATAATATGTATTCATAACTTGATGGCGTGTTATCAGATTAGATGCGTGTAGATCTCATACCTGTAGTGACCTTATTGAAGGTGATGGCTTCAGAGGCTCGTCCACCCAAAGCCATGCACATCCTCTCAAACAGCTGCTCTTTAGTAAATAAATACTGATCCTTTGGCAGGATCTGAGCAAAGCCCAATGCAGCATTCGTCCTGGGAGCAATTGAAACCTGGGGAACAAGTCCCAAATCTCAATGGATTCATGTATATTAATAATTTGTTAATATTATTCAAACAGTGATTACTATACAGTGTAGGGCTTACTTTGAAATGATTTTCACTCAGAAATTGCTAGTTAATATAATATCACAAATAATTTTAAAGAAACAGCAAGTAACACACTGAATTAAATATGAAATTTGGACGTAGACAGACTGAATTAGTATTTTCTTGTAAAACCTATTCCAGTAATCTTTGGTTTATTCCCAAACCTCAATCATTTTTACAGTGTATTTGACAAATTTCATATGTGATCTGGTATTACAACATGTTCACAATTGCCGCTGAATTCCTGTATCACTCTTCTGATGCCTAAACCTGAACAGGCCTATAGGGAAAGTTCACACAAAAATGTAAATGCCAATATTTTTTAACAATCATATGTTTGGTCTGTCCCTCACATTAAGCTATTGTATTGTATAGTTTTTTTTAAAGACTTAGGAATATAGCACACAAATTGCATTAACCACTTTTATAGTACTTTTTAGCTTAGCTTCCTGCTTACCTTCATGAGAGCTTCGGTGTGTTCTAGCAGCCATCCCACTAATGCATGACCAGACTCATGAAAAGCCACCACCCTCTGCTCTTCTTTAGATAAGATTTTACTCTTCTTCACACTCCCTACAAGTCACACACAACATCAAACAGATCCAACAAAGGGAGCGGATTGTGTAGAAATCTGTAATGTAATATCAGAGTATACTATTTAAGCTCAACTGAATCTAGGAGCCGAATACCTGCGATGACTCTCTCCACAGCATATTCAAAGTTAAAGGTGTCAATAGACTTGTAGCCCTCTCTGGCAGCATGAAGGGCGCCTTCATTGCAGATGTTGGCAATGTCAGCCCCTGAAAATAGGAACAATGCACAAAGGGCAAATGTGGCAGGATATGGTGTCAAGAGATAACATCGTCACATGGTCAAAACAACACTTACCACTGAAGCCTGGTGTCAACTCCGCCAGACGCAGGGAGTAAAAGTCTGCCGGCTGAGTAAGCTTCAGGATCTTCAGGTGTTGCTCAAAGATTTCCTTTCTCTCCTAGAACACACATGATCACACGATACTTCAGGAATCGTTCTAATATGGTGCTCATTTATTAATAACAGTTCTTCTTTTTATTATCAATGTTGAAAACAGTTGTGCTGCCTAATATATTTGATGCATTTTTTTTCAGGATTCTTTGATGAATAGAAAGTTCAGGGAACAGTATTTATTTGAAATCTGAAAATTCAACTTTGCCGTCACAGGAATAAATTACATTTGAAAATATATTCAAACAGAAAACAGTTGAAATTGTTTAACTGTTGTTTAAATTGTAATAATATTTCACAATATCACTGTTTTTACAGTATTTGTGATCAAATAAATTAACCCTTGTTGAGAAACTTTTTTCAAAAACATTAAACATTTTGGCCTGTAGCGTAAATGTGTTTATATCAGGACATTTATCAGATTTTGCTTAGAAAAACAGCCCAATTCACCATTACTAGATTGGAAGTCTCCAGAAAGAACGCAGAGAAGTATTATACAATTGTAACGCAGCGAGCAAATCTGGAGCTACTTCATGAGTTATTCACACTTGGAACATCTGATAACCAATCAAAATCAAGAACTCAACAATAGAATGTGCCAGTCTATAGCTGCTATATATATCTCCAAAAAAGTACTTCGAACATTCATTACCTGAAGAGTTGGCAGGTCTATAAATATGTGCCTATCAAGCCTGCCTGGTCTCATGAGTGCATTGTCCAGAATGTCTGCCCGGTTAGTGGAGGCCAGGACAATCACATGATCCATGGTACCCATTCCTTTAAAAGTGAGAAGGAAAATATGTTGATAATCTCAGAAGGTCATGTGCTGATCATGTTAGCCTATGTAGACATAAAAATCAACTGAATAAATAGGCAGTGCAGCACCAACTCAATAGTCTATTATAAAAATAATTCCTCAAGTAAAAGTTAGGTCAGCACAGTCAAGGTATTGCTGTTACCCTGTTGCCATGGCAAACGCTTGTGCAACCAGGAGAAAAAACAAACTCATGAAAGATCTGAGGTAAATTATTTTGTTTTCCACTTCAAATATACACTTTTCAAATTAAATAATTAGTTTTAAAATGCAACATCAACATGACTATAATTGAACGAAACCTTTGTAAAAAAATATAAAGCAAAACATGTGTGAAAAAACTAATGTAAACAAATAGTATTTCCACTGTAAACATTAGTCGACTAGTCTTGCACATCCCTAATTATTACCGTCCATCTCCACAAGTAGCTGGTTAAGGGTCTGCTCTTCCTCTGTGTTTGAGAAACCAGACATGTTTGTGGACCGTTTCTTTCCCACAGCATCAATCTCATCGATGTAGACAATGCATGGTGCTCGAGCACGAGCCTCTTTGAATAGACTTCGCACTCTTGCGGCACCAAGGCCTGGGTGAGGAAATATCATTCAGATATAAATAGATCTGAAAATGCATTAGGACTATTAAATATACAGAGTTTATTGTACTGAACTACCTCCAATCACCTCCACAAACTCTGAACCTGCCATGGCAAGGAAGGGCACCTGAGCCTCTGTTGCCACTGCCTTAGCAAGCAGAGTTTTACCACAGCCAGGGGGCCCCAGGAGCAGAGAGCCTTTAGGTACCTTGGCCCCAAGCTGAAGGTATCTATCCGGATTCTTCAAAAAAATAAAAATAAAACACAAACAAACAAAAAAGATTAAATGCAGAGACCTCTTTGCAACAATGTGCATTTTTGCATTACTGTAGCAGCAGCAACCTAAGAAATCAAGGGTGCAATAAAGTCACCAACAAATGTCTGTACAATTAAACTATGTGTGTTGTTATTAAGATAGCTTAAAAAAAATGCAGTTAGAATGCCTCCAACATTCAATATATATGGAGGCAGAGATGTTCAGTAAACAACAAGAATATTGTGAGTTACATTTTATACACAATAATGTCAATATTGTCTGTTTTCACCAAGAAAAAGTAAAAAAAACAAAGCCACAACAGAATCGATGAGCGTCTTAGGGAGCATCAAACAGTGGTGGTTCATTAAGACAGTGACTTGCTGCTGATTTTAGTTTGATATTTAAAGGATCATTTCATTTAAAAAAAATATTTTCAAATTTCAATATTCAAAAATTATTTTTTAAACATTAATCTCATAGCATTATTTATGCAAAAGTAATTGCAGTGTAAATACATCTAAATGCTGCTTTTGATGCTAATGTTGCCTCTTAATGAAAAAGTTCATTTGTCATTGCTGTGAACTGACTATTACACAGAAAATATGAAAAGCAACATGCACTCACGCAGCATTACAAATTGTGCTCTGATACATTCTGTAATGCAGCACCAAGTAAAACTGAGCATGAATAACTAAAGATTGTCACATTCACAGAAATAAAGATTTGGGCCTAACTTTCAGATGCCCTTACCTTTAGATAGTCCACAAACTCTTTGACTTCCATCTTGGCCTCGTGCATTCCCGCAACATCTTTGAAGCTTACACCTTTCCCAGATTTCCCATCGACAATAGTGAATTTAGCCATTTTTAATTGATTCTGGTGGAGCAGGCAGATTATTTGACATCAGAAAACATTTTAATAATAATAAATATATAAATTCTACAACGAATGTAAATGAAGGAATCTTGACTTACAAATGCACTAAAGCCGCCATCTCTCCCACCCATTCCTGCCAGTCGGAAGATGTACCAGAGAATTGCAACCCCAATGGCAGCCATACCGAGAGCATAAAGAGCACTGTGAAGGACAAGAAATTGATCCAGTGATACTTTGTTATGCCAACAGTCGATTTTAATCTTTTTTCAACTTGCCAGGATTGCATGCTCTGTGGAAGGTCCAAATAACTCACTTCCCAAAGAAGCCTGTGCGCTTGTAGGTCACTGGTATTCTGTCTTTGGTATCTATATTCAGCTCTTCCTCTGCTGCTCTAAGCTTCTCCTCAAACTTGTCAATGTTGGCCACCTGCATTCGGTACATCAGGGCAAGTCTCTATAACAGACAACAGGACATCAGTGAAACTAGAATCGATAGCACCATAATGATAACAATTACTCAAAAATCATGTATGGCACTTGTATGTGAAGTGACTTACAGGTCTGCCGAAGATGACTGCGCCAGGGTGAAGGTAGATCTCCACAATGTCACTCTCTGGTACCACCTGTACTCGTGACACCTCCCCTTTGGCCAACATTTCATTTACAAAATCATTCCAGGATATGTTCCCCCCACTGGTGTTGATGGAGTTGAGCAAGCTCATGATGACAGCGATAATAAAGAGTGTGCGCAGTCGCTCCCTATACATCTGGTCCTCCTGCTCTCGTCTCTTTTTCTCTTCTAGGGAATAAACATTGAAGCAAAGTAAGAATGAAAAATCTGGAATGAAAAGTATATCTGCCTGTCTGAATTACATGTGTCTGATTGGTCAACAAATTGCATTACTGACTGTTGTCCCAGTCAACCTGATGTCCTACATAGCTATGCCAATTCCATGTTTGTCATATCACTTCATGGTCTCTAAATAAAACAATTTCAACTCAAATCAACTTTAGCCACCTAATAAGCAGGGCAATGTAGGAATGTGCGATATATATTGTCTGCAATGACACTGTAATTGTCAATGACATTATTGAGTATGTAGCTCATTTTGCAAAAAAACTAAACAAAACACGCCTTCACTGCATGATGTAGCATATTAGTATAGCCTACAGAAGTATATTCTAATCGGAATACAGTTAGAACGGCAACAAAAGGAGAGAAGAAGTGTTGCACGTCTCTGAGCAACACACAGCATTGTTTCGTTACTGCATTTCGTTGAATATATTGTTTGAGTGAATGATTCAACAACCAATTCATAAACATGGTCACTTGTCGTTTGAAACAAATCTTTTGAATTAATCATTTAATGACTCACTCATTAAGACAGGGACTTGCTGCTATTTACTGACGACGGTTTCATATTTAAAAATAAGATTATATTTAAACAATTTTATATTCCAACAGGGGCGTACTTTGTGTCTAACAGTAGGGGGGGACAATAAACATAAAATTTCTCAAGAGCAATTTTTGAAGGGGAGACAAATAATACAGCTAAAATTGTACTTGTAAGGATATGTATACACAGAGGAATGGCCTACTACTATTAGTGCAGCAGGGAGACCGTGCCACATTAGACAACTTCAAGCTGTTGTGGTCGCGCCGTGACAGCGGTGGTGTCAGTTGTAGACATTACCATCCATCACAGTGTTGCCAAGTCCGCGGTTTTCCTGTGGAATTGGGCTACTTTATCACCGTTGCCGCGGGTTGTTTTTCCTGTCCGTGGGTTGAAGTGACCCCAATAACATGTATTTTAGCCCCCGGAATGCGATTTTTACCAGGGGACCCCTTCGAAACGCGGATAGTTTGGGCTAGTTTTGAGTAGCAATTGGGCGGGTTTTGTTATGAAAACCTGGCAACCCTTTCCCTCAAGCAGGTATTGCTAACATAGCGGACTCATCGAAAAATACACTGGCATCATCTGTATTAAAGAGAAAATAATCACTTCATCCAATGTTTAAGTGAATAAAATAGCCCTGACAGCCTTACTTACTGGAATACCACAACTATTGGCTTTGTTCTCTCTCACGGACTTGTGTGTGTGTGGGTGATGTAAAAGAGGAAAGCAGGCATTTGGACCAAAGCACTGTGAGGCAAGGGAGGGGGAGACTCAAAATGTTTCTAAACTTAAAACGCATTTTTGCCCCGTTTGTGTTGTTTTACTACTTACACAATTACTTAAAGTATAAAGCATTGTTATTTACAACGCACAGCATGGTTTTTAATCATATTTTTAGGGGGTACAACCCTCAGATGGGGGGGTCCTGTCCCCCCCGGGATTTCCGCCTATGTATTCCAATATTTAAAACGTTATTTTAAAACACTTTAGTGTCTTAATATTCTAGTTTGATTTATTGATTAAAGGTGAGAATTTGACATAAAAAATGGTCACTTTTAATGAGGTTTAAAAATGCCTTTATGAAGACAAAAATGTCATGAGTAAACCGAAGTAGCGACAGACCTTTTGCTCCATATTGTGAGGCACATTCAATTGTAGCAAATTATTGAAAAAGAAAATTTTTTTACAATTTGATCATTCTATCTATTGGTTTTTGATTGGTTTCGAGATTTGGACACTGCACTGAAAAAGTGGACTTAAGCAGGCATTTTGTTTAAAAAATATTAGGGCAATATTTATTTTTTATTTTTTTTAATTTTAGAAATATACATAAATTAATCATTCACAATTAGATACATTAAGAAAGTAGTTAGTAAACTATGGTTTCAAAAATTCAGAAAATACCTTCATCCTCCTCTGGGTTCTTCCCTTTTCCACCTTCTTTCTTTTCACGTCTTCTGTTGGAAGTGCTGAAATAATGAGTAGTGCCTGACAGATGTGGAAAAATATTTGAATTATGCTACGCAACATAATTCAGAAAAAGCATTAAGATTCAGAAGTCAAAAGTTCTGCAACACAACTTTGTCCAGCCAAAACAATAAAATAAACTTAACACTTACCTAATAGTTTCCACAGTTTCACAGGATCTGTGACCAATTTGTGGCGACAATGGAATTCAAGTCCAATAAGCCTCGGGATTAATGGCTTTGTCAAAATGTTCTGTAAAACAGAACTTGGTTAATCACCCAAGAAATATCAAGGTCATGCTCATGCATAATCGCATAGATTACTTGCTATTATTATGATCCATCTGTTCCGTTTTGTCTAAAAAAAAGTGTATATTCTGTATAAGCTGTATTAGTCAGCATTACAACAGCACTGGACTTAACTATACTTAACGTCACTTCGCAAGATGACAAGTCAAACCTCTTTGCTATGAACTTTAAATGAACAAATAGTTTACATAATGCTTGGTCGGCGTTTAAATAACCCACCTGAATGTGTCCTGAAGTAAGCCCTCGTTTGTTTGGAGTCATTAAAGGCAAGTATGAAGTCACCTTGCTCTCCAGGAGTTTTCTGCTGGCCTGAAAACAGCTGAAACGACACGATAACGACCAAACCCGTTTGTCGTAACATTTGCTTCCGCGCTGCAAAAGTAGCGCTGCCATATTAGAAGCTGGTTTATCGCGTCTCTTGGATCAAAGACATACTATTCCAAAATAAATGGCAGTCTTTAATGTGACCTCTTTAAGAGTTGCTATCACGCAGCTGTCATAGTGATTCTGCAGGTCTTATCCGACACAGCTAAATATAGCGGCTGTAAAACAACAAGCTCGTCTTCCGCTTGAATATATCAGAAACATACAGAATAAATAAAATGTAAAAAAAAAACTGTCTTAAATGATACAATTACAAGGACATTACAATGCTGTAATGACTACTAAAGCCGTGAACTCTAATGATGTTTACCGTACGGGCTTGAGAAACATGCCTGTTCAACTTTCACCGTCGGAATCAGCCAATCAGGACGGAAATATAGCGAGAACGGGTTGACGGGAAATGTAGTTCTACTTGCACGTTTATAAAACCAAAAAAACTACAAACAGTTCTAGTTGGGCATGCGCAAAGACAACGACTGTAATTTGATGTAAAAAAATGTAGTTATAGCGCAAAAATAAATATAGTCTAGTTATAGCGCATATATATACATATATAAGATTTCACTTGTCTGGCATTCTTTTTTGTACTTGCAGGTATGAGCCTGTGTGATTTCAGATGTCTTTTATGTTGGGATATGAAGTAGTGAGGACAGAACAATTGAGGTATAATTATAACAAGATGGTCGAGAATTGAGGCTATATCTCAGACAGTTAGCTCTAGGCTCTTTTCAAAGCTAGAGTAGCTGAACACGCAGCGCCAGCTGAAGCTTGGGCTCTGATCCTATGGGGTGGGTGGGGCATTACAAAATTATTATTATTTTTTCCCCCTTCAGTACAGATTCATCACCCATGTGCGCAAGATATACAGTAGGTGGCGGTAATACTCCTAAGGAGTGAACGGCCATTGAACAAAAAGAAGAAGAAGAAGAAGAAGAAGAAGGCTCTTATCAACAGAGGGAGCCATTGCGTTATTCTGCTCGGCAAGAAATCGGTGTCACGGTCCCTGAGGCTTGTGGCGTCAAATCGAAATTAAAACAAAAATCAACAAATCTAACATATACATTTACCAGACAACAGTAAATGAAAGCAAATCGTGCTGTGGCTGATGAGCTCGCAATCTGTCACCAGCAAAGTGTTTGTAATACTTGCTGAAAATAGCAATAAACAGCTGTTTCAGATAAATCTGAATTAAGATGGGATAAACAATTCCGCTGCAGCTCTGTTCACTCATATCTTAAAATACGAAAACACATATATAAAAAAACACATTTAAGCAACTTTACTACGTATGCCCACACATGTTCTCCATTTTCCTCTCACCCAAATGGAGCTCGCAAAAACATGCCACTGTCTACGCCATTAAGGCTCGAGGTCGCCAAAGAAAACAACGTGGAAGCTTCCTTGGCAAGAACCACAATGGCGCCAGTTTCACTGTTACAACGGGGAACAAACAGTGACCGCCCATACGCGTCAGCCTATCACAATCCGTGTATCAACTCCTCGCCGTCCGCTCTTCCTCAGCGCGAGTCAAAGGCCGATCGAACTGTTCGGAAGGAGTCGGACGGAGAGGATTAACTTGAAGCGGAATTTTATTTTTACACCTCAGAGCAAGCCAAATCAGCAAACTTAACGTTACTGAGACCCATGGACTGTTTATAGGCACGGATGGAGAGTTTATAACCCCTTCTCTTACCAGTTTATCGGAGCTCTGAGAGATTTTAATCATCGCATTTTGGGGGAGGTAATCAGTGATTAGCTTAGCACGCTGGCGCGAGTGCAGACTGAAATGAGCGTTGCGCGCCTCGGATGTTCCCGCATCGGAGCTTACTGAAGCAGAAGGCCTCAAATGGGAAAAACAAGCATCGGGAGGGAATACCAAGTATAATTTTGTAAATGTAGCTCACGTTTTGAATAAGGTAAGCAATTTTAAACCGCTCTTTACTATTTTAAAAGGCATTTCGTGACGGAAAAAACAACAACATCTGTACGTCCTCTCATGCGTCGACTTTCACGGTTAGCCCGCTAACGGCTTTAGCCCCGTTGCTAACTGGAGTTTGTTTCCCTCCCCCACCCTTGAAGTCGAGGAAATGTTTGCGTATTGCTCAAAATCTATTCATTTTGGCAGACTGTGCACATTTATTCATTCATACGGGTTGTATTGATCTATAATAATAATAGTCTGTAATGATTGAAGGTGAGCATGTGAAGCTGGAGAAATGAAAATAATTCTCGTCATGTTGTCGTTCTCTCTCTGGGAATCGGATATGGCCAGACGGGCTCAGCTGCCCTGCAGAAATCAGCCACTGGGATGGGCAGCTTAATACATGTATGTTTCAAGGGCACATATGAGAAGGAAATATTGTTGACTTCACATTGATTATATGTGCTGAAGTAGCTGCAGGGATTATGAAATTCCAGAATAAGATCTGTAATAAGAATTTGCGTTGGGTTATCAGTGCACCATTCAGACTATAAATATTAGATCACTGCAACACTCTCAGTTCTCAGTGTTTTTATGAGATTGCTCATATTATGATGGCAACATGAATTCAGTTTTGGTTTGTTTTTCATTTCTCATGTTTAACGGAGGAATTTGTTTCTGGCAAGAAGAAAACACACACACAGTTTCATAACATAATTGCTTAAAGATTTCACTCAAGTTCCACAAAGGCGAATTCAGTGCTACAATCATCCTATTTTACCAAATTAAGGGTTTTCTCGATGCATACGTGTATTCTCAATGTGGCTAACCATTCTCTGTATATTAGGCTAAATGTTTTTTACTTTTGATTTAGAACAACAAGACCTGAACTTCACTGTCTTACATGGTGTGAAAATACATTTTGTGAAGGTTGCTTGTGGATGTGACTCATCTGTGCTTGTTTAGACATTATGTGGTGTGATTGTTTACTTCATCAAGGAGCTGCATTGAAGCAAGACCTTACAGTACTTCTTTAAAGGGTGATCTGAAGGATAGAAAGATAATCTATCAAAGTTTGTGATGAAGTAAACAGAGCTGGTGTTGGTGCAGTGGAAGAACACTGCGGCGGTGTTGGGGCGTTAGCACACTCTCTCCCTCTCTTCACATACTCTGCTGCCACTTTACATCCCTCCCTTCCTCACTTTTATTTCTTCTGAGCACAACTTTAACACAGCAGCATTGCAAAATACTCTTTCCTGTTTCACCCCATAAGAAAACTCAGTTGAATTATGGCACTTGTAGACTGTTTACCGGAAGGTGGTTTAAGAGCACTTATCAGGATTTAGTTGAAGTATGATCCGTAGGTGTCTCAGGTTGTCAGGCCTGTTTGTCTACCCAGTTCTTGTGTTTCAAGAGTCCTGCTCAATGTTTGGCAGAGAGGGGAGATGGACTTTTGGTTGGGGTGTGGGGTCAGGAATGCTGTTACTGGGAGTTTCAGAAAGCATTTACTTTCTTTGAGAATGACAATCATACTCAACCATAATTATTTGCTTTGTCTCTCTCAATCAAGCCTTTTGAGAGCTACTTCTGTCCAGCTGAACTCCTAGAGTGCCTTAAGGATCCTATGGTTGGAGATTAAATGTTATTTAAGGTATGGCATTGCTGTTATAAATGTCAGCATATATGGTGTTGAAAGCATTTTAGTGGGTTTGAAATAAAACCATGCTTTGCTCGGTCACCATGAGAATTATGACATATTTAGGTCTGCGTAGACATGCATATTTGTTTTTTAACCCAGCGTTCCCTCATTGGCGGGCTTTTTTCAGCCTTACTGTTTGCAAACATAATCAGTTCTTTAAGGACAGTAAGTTAACAAAGATCTACCACTAAACTGATTGTAAGTCTTTTGTAAACGTGTAGAATGTTTCCTGGCCAGTTGGTTTGTGGGTGTCTAGTAGTTTGGAGTAGAGCCCGACCGATATGGGTTTTTTGGGGGCCTATACCGATATTAGGTAGTACAAAAAGACTGATACCGATATATCGGCCGATATTCTTTGTGTAGGCTATATTATATAGTACAGTAGAAGCGCAAGTTTGGACACACTTCTAGTGCTGGGCGGTATGACCAAAAATGTATATCACGGTATTTTTCAAAATTATACCAGTTTCACGGTACATGACGGTTTTTTTTTTATGCATGACCGGGTGTTAACCATATTTTCTACTGATTGAGAGAGGAAATACTGCAGTATATTGACTTGGAATGCCCTATTTTACTGTCATGATGAGTGAATATTGTCAAAAAATACCACACTAAATAGTGACTAAACACGACCCCTTTTAATACATGTTAACCAGGAGTCACTCTCATTTATAATCGCGGCATCGTCTGATAAAATCAACATGCATCTACACTAAAGAGCGGCTATGCGGTTGTTTTGGCTATATTACTTCTTTTGTCTCATGCAGCGCACTGCCTTGTATAAACATCAACAAGCTGAAAAATAAAACCAAAGTTTTTTTTTTAGATAATGTAATCTTGTTCAAATAGATTTCATAAAATTGGTATCGAAAAAAGTATCGTTCAGGAACCGGTATTGAAGTCAAGGTATCGGTATCGATATCGAAAATTTTTGAACGATACCCAGCCCTATACAGTATATAGCCTACATAAACAGAATATATATACATGAACACATTTTTTGCAATGATAACTCAAATGTGGTGATCAAACACTTATAATGATGTGACAAACATAGGTCTATGTAGTGGATATTTAAAATTAGCATGATATTTAAAAATTTTACAAACTTTATTATTCAAAATGAGTCTGTCATCAGTGCACTTAACAGTAAACTTCACTTCACTTATTATAAATAACTTAACACAAATGGAACAAAATATATATAACTTGAATTAAGAAATTAAACAAGGTAACTGTGATAGCAAGCAAGATACTGCCAAACCAACAGGGGCAGGTTTATGCAGGAAGCACAGCTTTTCCAAATGTAAACATCTAAAATGAATAAATAATAATAATTAATAATATTTTTTTTCACAAACTCTGTGTTGTGTATTTTCTGGTAATCAAATGAACATGCAGAACATTCGTATTTAAATCGTCTTTTTGCAGTTTAATATTCACAGACACAGTATATGTACTGACCTGTTTTTATTTATTCATCAAAAATAAGACAAATTCCATGAAATTCCGTGTTATACAGTAAATTCCGTTTTTATGACTGGATTTCGCGATTCCGTTCATGTTTTCTGCATTGCCGAAATCATAGGGCCCTACTAATGTAGCAAACGAAATATGATAAGCTCATTGTGAGAGTAAAAGACTGGGACATTGTTGTTTATTTACTTAGCATTGTGTCTCTCCAACTAGGTGACAATGTAGCGTTAAATCACCATTCAACAGACTCAAGCCACCACCGCACTACCGTCTATTGGACTGCAGAAAGATACTAACTTTTCAATCTGCTACGTTACTGACTGTACTGACAAACTATGCTGACAGTGTCTGCGCCGCTACAGGATGCGACAAAGCGACCGTTGAAAATCATTTGAACTTTGTGTCAGCATGTCATAAATAGAACGAGTGATTACTGTCGGGGATTTGTTGTGCCGCACCGCATCCAGTGCAGACAGCGCTGATTATAATGGGTTCTATTGTATTTTGTCACGTCGCACAACACCGCTCGTGTCTGCTGTAGACATGGTGAGAGCCACGCAGATGCACATGAACAATGAATTCCATTCCGAAATTACACATACGTATGAAACTGTGTCAAAATGCATGTCTCTGCAAGTATCCGGTTGCTTATGGCTTAGGTGAAGGTAAACAATTGAGAAATATAATGGATAGTATATTGGTTCAATGCAGTTTAATATTCCTGAGGCTTTTGTAGCTTTAACACAGACTTATAAGATTTAATTTATACAGTGAAGACTATGCAGTGTTTTCAACAGAAGAAAAGAAATTCATACATGCATAAATGATGACAGAATTTTTATTTTTGGGTGACCCAAAAGCCAGTATTAGTTTTCCTACACCGTTCATAGGCTTGCAGCCTCCATGTTACAGCTAATGCTGTGAGATTTTATGTTTGTTTTGTCTTAAACATAAAATAACCTGATCCTGTTTGATCAAGGCATGCGACTGTTCTGACTTGTCCAATTTTCAGCATCAGTTTTTCATCTTGCATCAAAATTCTGTCTATTCATTGTATGCATTTGAAATATAGAGCTGGGTTTTGTTTTATTGTACCCAAGTGTACCTAAAATAAAAAGTGTTTAATATACAGGTTTGTGGCTCTTAATTTCCTTTTATTAATTAACCATTTGTAATCTTACGTTCACTGTTCATTTTTTATAAATGTAGGATTTGTATTAAATCTATATTCATTCATATAGTCAAATCGAATCGAATATCGAATCGAAAATCGAAATCGAATAGAAAATCGAAATCGAATAGAAAATCGAAATCGAATAGAAAATCGAAATCGAATAGAAAATCGAAATCGAATCGAATTGAGAGCTTGAAAATCGAAATCGAATCGAATTGGAACATCTGAATCGATACCCAGCCCTACCGTCTATTGGACTGCAGAAAGATACTAACTTTTCAATCTGCTACGTTACTGACTGTACTGACAGACTATGCTGACACCGTGTCCGCGACGCGGCAAAGCAACCGTTGAAAATCATTTGAACTTTGTGTCAGCACGTCATAAATGAAACGAGGCATCAGTTTACTGCATCCAGTGTAGTAAAACATACACCGGACGTGTGCCACGTGATGTGATGTGACCGATGTGATAAGCATGAGTTTTGGGCCACGGTGCGGCCGGTATAAACACCAGTCCAGCCGCGATCAGCTCCAGTGGCCGTAACACAGGCTTTAATGCGCCGCAGACGCGTGCCGTGATGCGCAGATCAGCTCTAGTCTCTAACGTCACTGAATCCGAACCGAACCAAACTGTGAGCAAT